AAAGCTCCTTCTGTCCGGTAAAAGAAGAACCAGCTTCCCAAGAGGAAGACCGGGCTTCACACACCTGGTGCTGGCTTGGGGACCATGGCCTGCATGCCGAAGCCAGTGGGGCGAGGAGTCGTACTCCCGTAGCCAAAGCCTCGCTGGTGGTCAGGGGGTAGCGCCTACAGTGGATTGTAGGACCCTGCTAGCTGGTATCTATCCTGACAGGCAGTTTTCAGAGCCACTCCTCGGACATAGGGCCAACTTCCTTATGTCCTTGGGGGGGAGTGGTGCTTAAAGGCCTGACGATGCGTTGGATGGCCGTATATGGTCTCGGAGGACTGGAAACGGGAAGAGCATCTCCTAGTAGGGATGATGGGGCGGCCCAAGCCGAGCAACCAGCCGGGCTGGGGTAACCTTGGGTAGGAGGCCATTTAAATGGGTAGCTGTCCCGGCAGCGGGCTAAGCAGTGACGACCTGGCAATAAGAGGGCCAAAATGAGCCCTCAGTAAGCCCGAAGTCAGAGCTGGCTCTTAAACGCATACTTTGATTCTCGAACGGATTCAGGGCACCCGTGAAAGGTCGAGATCACCCTAATCCCCTGTTTATTTTTCTTATTATGATGACGAACATGGCTAAATCGTGCGAGAATTTGGCAAGCGTGTTGTGTGCGGATGATACACTAAATGTTCAGTGTCGTGGCGAGAAGTTGAGGGAGGAAGTGCAAGTGGAAGGCGGTGTGAAGTTGGGCACTGAGCCAATGGAGAAGCAGACGCTGCAAAAGCGTAAGCCGCCCGCTGCTGATCCACCACAAGAACCTACAAAGGATAGGCCCATAGAGACTGTAAAAGTCTCAATCCCCATAGTAAACAGCGAGTCCGATTCGGATCGCTCTAGTCTAGATTCTGGGAAGATTTTCGACTCCGCTACCTCTGGTGAGGAAAGCAAGTGGAAGCCCGCGCCTACCAACTCCAGACAAAAGCATAAACAAAGACGGGCAATGGCGGCCAAAGCCAGAACGGGGAAATCCGAGACCAAGAAGTCTAAAGAAAAACCCGCAAAGGCTGCGGTGGCCGTGGGGGAGGGGAAACCCTCCACCAAAAGCAAGGGTGGGTCACGGACTAAGTCTAAGTCCAAGAAAAAGAATCCTACCGCAGCGGTGGCCGGGAAAACAAGTCCGGCCACTAAAGCTGGAACACCGTCATCGGCGCCCGTGGAGACACGGGAGATGCTTAAAACGGTAGAAGAACGGCGCGAAGCAATGGACAGCGTGTTTGAGGAGCTGACAAAGCTCCTCTCACGCACTGACAATCGTTGTCAGAAGTCAACCTGCGCCGTAATCTACGGCCTTTTCAATAAGGTTGCCGTGATTCAGTCCGCTCAGGAGGCTGAGATTGCCTCCCTCAGCGCGGAGAACAAGACCTTGCGAGAGGTCGTTGGTGGCAAGCAATTGCCACCACCCACGCTTTCACTGCTGAAGAAAGACGTTGGCAAGGCAGTGCATGCCGGTGGCGCTTCGTACGCCGCCGTTGCTGCCCGTCCGGCCCCAAAGCTTCGCCAAGAAGGGGCACGGGACTCTGCCAAGCCACGCAGGGGTCTTCCCACGGAGCACACGCTCCTGGTCTACCCGGCGAAAGAATCGATGACTAGCGACACTACAAACTCGCTTTTGAAGGCGCACATCAACCCGACCAAGCTTGGAATCGGTGTTAAGAATGTGCGCCGTGTTCGAAACAACGGCATCCTGGTGGAGGTACGAAGGAGCCAGGATGTTGTGAAGCTACAAAAGAAATTGACGGAGGGCCCCAAAGAGCACAGAGAGACGGTCAACTGCCGACTGCCCCAGAAGTGCCGACCGAGGGTCATTTTATTCGACGTTGACCCGGACGTCAAGGGCGACGGTCTCGTGGAGACAATTAGAGTTCAAAATGAACTCGGGCTGCAGACTGGTGACCTGCGGCCCTGTTTCCCGCTTAAGGGAAAAGGAGGGATGACCAACTGGGTGTTGGAAGTCTCTCCGCCAGTCTTCCACGCTCTCCTGCAGAAGGGGAGACTCCATGTGGGGTGGACCCGCAACCGAGTGAGGGAATACTTGAGCTGCACTCGGTGCTACAAGTGCTATGCCTTCGGGCATATCGCACGGGGCTGTAAGGCGGCAGCCCAAAAATGTAGCAAATGTGCCCATGACCACTCCTATAAAGAGTGTAAGGCATCTGAGTCTCGGTGCGTCAACTGCACTGAGGCAAATAGAAAATTTGGCCTACAGCTGGGTACGGGTCACTCTGCCATGAGTGCTAGCTGTCCGTGTTATGCACGGGAACTAGAACGAGTTCGGGCCAAAACCGATTACGGTCCTTAGATTGGCAATTCCTATCATTCGAGTCGGATAATAATACAACTTATATGCGGGATGACGAGAATGTAGGCTGCAGTCTACTGCAGTTTAATGCTGAAAAGTGTCGGGCTGCAATTGCCCAACTACGGGTAGAAGCAGTCGAGCGGGAGATTGATATCATCCTGCTCCAAGAGCCGTACTTAGTACAAGGAAAGGTCAGTGGCCTCTCCCTTCAATAGAGCGTTTTCGCCCAAGAAGGTGACGATTGTCGAACTGCAGTTATTCTCACACGCAGGGACGTCGATGCTTATGCTGTCCACGTTTCCCATCTCGTGGTAACCGTAGAAATACGGACACCTTCATGTGCTTGGACTGTCGTCTCCAGTTATCGCCCGCCGTCACTTAATCTGAGTTGCCTTCTGACTGAACTCGAAGGGGTTATCTTGGTCCACAATCGGGTCGTTTTGGGTGGTGATTTCAACGCCAAACACTCGCTGTGGGGCTCGCCGGTTGATGATCCTGACTGGAACACGATGAAGGACACGGCGGAGGGTTGGGGGTTGCACATTCTGAACGATCTGTTCGGGATTGCTACCTACTCCTCTCCATCGGGCGAGAGTTGGACTGACTTGACACTTGTTAGTGGCGCTATGCTGAGACTCACCTCGCAATGGGAGACGATCGATGCAGAAAGTTGTAGTGACCATCGCTTTATCGCCTTTGAAGTGATGGGCGGCCCGCCGAATAGGCAGGACAGTCGCTACAAACTGACTGCTAAAAACCGCGATCGCTTTAGCAAATGCCTCACCGAAAAGACAGTCGATATCGTTACCGAAGTTTCTAAGGTTGAGAGTGTTGAGGACCTGGAGGAAGCTGTGGCAAACCTCACCAATGCGATCAGAGAAGCAGGAGACTGCACGCTTGCGCTACGGCGGCCCAGCAACCACCGGTCAGTTCCCTGGTGGACCCAGGAACTGAGTGTCCTACGGAAGCGTGTGAGGGCGCTCCGCCGACGCTTTCAACGATGCAGGGACGATGACCTTCGGGCGACCAGGAAACTGGAGTTCCAGAGGGCCAACGCCGAGTACAAGTACAAATTGAACGATGCAAAGAGAACCTCATGGCTCAGTTTCTGTCAGCAGATCAGTGACGAAAATCCGTTCAGCCTACCATACAGGCTAGTGGCGGGAAAGTTAAAGCGTAGGACGGTCTTGGGGTCCCTCAAAAAACCGGATGGAACCCTAACCTCCACACAGGAGGAGTCGATTAAGGTGCTGCTCCAATCGCACTTTCCGTGTGATGAGCGGTCTGAGGACACTGAAGAGCAACGGCGGCTTCGCAACGATGCGGAGTTGCCTGTTCTTGAGGCCGAGTTACCCGTGCCGGTGTCGGAATCTGAAGTTGTCCACGTTGTGGGCAATCTAAGGAAGAGGAAGGCACCTGGCATTGATGGGATCACGGCCGAGATGGTACAAGTTCTGCAAGAGGTACGTCCTAACCTGCTCCGTGTACTGTATCAGAAGTGTCTACTCCTGGGTCACTTCCCAGTGCAGTGGAAGCGGGCACGCCTTGTGTTCATTCATAAGGAGAAGCGCCCGAAGAACGAGCCCAGATCCTACAGGCCGATCAGCCTACTACCAGTGCTGGGGAAAATTCTTGATAGAATCCTCAGCGATAGAATCTTTTTCTATCTCAAGCGGAAAGGGCAGCTACACCCGCACCAATATGGATTCCGCCCGAACATGTCGACCTGCCATGCATTACATCGCGCGGTGGAACTGGTTCGCCAGAACCGCCGGCAGGGGCTCCACACGTCGCTCATTTCGATGGACGTCGCTGAGGCTTTCGACAACATTTGGTGGCCATCCATTGTGGGCGAGCTGAGGAAGGCAAACCTGCCGACCGCCCTTGTATCACTTTCCAGGAGTTTCCTGAGTGACCGCTCGGTTGTCTATGAAACGCCAGGTGGCAGGCATGAGAGGACGCTCGAGAGGGGCTGCCCACAGGGTTCCTGCATTGGTCCCCTGCTGTGGAACGTTCTAGCAGACACGGCGTTGCGACTGATCCTTCCGGACCAAGTCCAACTGCAGGCTTATGCTGACGACCTATTGCTAGTAGTTGCAGGCTACAGTCGACGCGACATGGAGGTTCGCGGCAACAAAGCAATAGAACAGCTCGTTCGCTGGGGGAAACTGCATAAGCTCTCCTTTAGCCCCGAGAAATCAAAGGCCCTGACGGTGGCCCGAAGCGGGGTATTGGCACGCCGGCCTATATACCGCATCCGGGGCAACCCCATCCGAAGGGTGAATGAGTTAAAGTACCTCGATGTAATCATCGACCAGACACTATGCTGGACTCCCCACCTGCGGGACATCCGTGTCAGGACGAACCGAATGATAGCGGCACTATCACGACTAGCTAGGCAGGATTACGGGCTGAGTGGCGAGGCGCTTCGTACCATCTACAAGATGAGCGTGGAGCGCGTTGTATGCTACGCCTGTGGCGTTTGGTAGAAAGACACCGCCAACGTCTGTCAGAGTAGGGCACTACTCTCGATCCAGCATCCCGCTGCTTTGCGGATCACGCGTGCCTGGTCTTGGCCGGGCTGCTCCCATTGCCTCTGGTAGTCAGCCAAGAGGCAGCCTTCTACAGAACAACGGTGGAAGGTAGAGAGGCCATGCACATGCATTGTAATCGGAAGTACCCGATCAGACTTAGGCGTCAGACAGACGTGCTAAAGATCCATCCTGCCCTTAGGATTGGACTCGATTGGGAAGTCGGTGAACCGACTAGTACTGGTGTTGAAATATACACCGATGGCTCAAAGGACGGCAGCTTAGTAGGCACCGCATACTGCGTCTTTTCCGACGGAGTTGAAGTGTACAGCAGAACTGTCAGACTGAACGAGGAGGCGTCCGTGTTCCAGGCAGAACTGGTGGCCCTGGAGGGGGCGTCCCAGTGGATCCTACTACACCCGGGTCCTGAGCCGGTCACGGTTTACTCAGATAGCCAGTCGTCGTTACAGGCTTTAAGCGACGGGTACCATCGTGACCCATTGGTACACGAGATCAGAGGTAGGGTACTGAGGGCGAGGCACGAGCGACACGTTGCCCTGCGGTGGGTAAGAGGCCACACCGGTGTCCTGGGCAACGAACGGGCCGATCAGCTGGCAAAGGCGGGAGCCAGTGGCCCATTTGTTACGAGGATGGTAGACCCCTCGACTACATACATAAAAGGTACTCTACTGCAGAGATTGATGATAAGCTGGTGAGAGAGCTGGACTCTAAGTACAGTAGGCAGATCAACCTACGCCTTCGTGCCTGTAGTTGGCCTCACTCCGATAAGTTGTTGCTCGTTATCGACTCAAGTCCTAACTAGCCACGGGAGGTTCCCCCACTTCAAGTCCAAATTCGGACAAGGAGATGGTAGCTGCCCCTGTGGTAGTCCTCGTGGCGACGCGAGGCATTACGTACTTGACTGTCCCCTAACAAGGGACTTCCGCCTAGGGGCGGACCAAGTTGACTGGTCTAAGCCCCCTGAACAAGTACTTCGAACGCTAGCAGCTAGTAAAGGGAACCTAAAGAAACTAAAGGAATTGATGGGAAAAGTCATAGATCTTCTTGATCTATAAAACTAGTTGGCTTATTGGGTCCTCCCTCTGGGGTAAGGGCCCCGCTGTCCGCATACCTACTATATGTAGGTATTAGTCTGAGTATCCTATATTTATGTGTGAGTTACAAAATGTTTAGTGATGTGGACCAAAGTGCAGTACAGGCTGCACATACAAAAGTTATGCCAAGTTAGTGAGCTGGGCCGGGGTGCAAACGGGAGTCCGAATGATGCATCATAGGGCCCAGCTATGACGTCCCTGTCTACCGTGTCAGGTACCGACCAGTCGATGAACAAGGCATAGTCTCTTTAAACCCTGTGGTGCCAATAGGCAGGGCAGGGCAAAGAGTTCCTTATGAGACTGCAGAGGTGTCAGTAGACGCCTCTGTCCCTGTCTCCTCTCCCATTGTCCTGCCGGAGGCCCAAGCTGCCCCTATGGTCGTTGAAGAAGCAGTCCCAGTCCCAGCTCCGATTGTAGAAACTGGTGATAGAAATAAGTTAGTGAATAAGGTAGAAGAGGATAGCTCTGAGTTAGATAGTAGGAAGCGGTCCGTAAGTAGTGTAAGGACTAGGAGTAAAACTAGTCGTAAAACTAGTGTAAACGGGAGAGAAGGAGAAACCAGCAGTGATGAGTCTGCTGCTGGAGGATCTGACTCAGGGATGGAAGGCAGGCCCAGTAAACGGACCTGCCATAATAGATGTAAGAAAAAGAAAGCCAGGGCTGGCAAGTCCTCCGACCCAAGTAAGGAGGAATACTAACCCACTAACTATAACGTGTCTTTCAAAATACGTTTAGCAACCCTTAACTGTAATTGACTTCGGTCCATTCCCCGCCAGCTTTTTGTTGCTTCCCTTTTTGCCCTCCTTTCAGCTAGACATTCTAGCACTGCAGGAAACGTATTTTGAAAACATGCAAAGAGTTAGGACCTTTAGGCCTAAGATTAGGGGCTATAATAGCTATTATAGCTTCTCCAGGGGCAAGAGTGGAGGAGTAGTGCTCCTCGTCTCCTCCAGTATCACAGTCCAACAGTTCATCACAGATAGTGACGAACAGATAGTTTGTTTAGATATTGTTAAAAACAAAAAAAAACTGTTAGGGTTGTTTGTATTTATGGCTCGACTAGGCCTAGCTTACGTTCGGACTTCTTCCAAATTCTTGGTAGCTATTTAGCAACCAATAGGGACATTTTTGTCTTAGGTGATTGGAATGTGATCCTCCGTCCTGAAGACAAGGAAGGAGGTAGCTGGTTCCCTGATAGTACTAGAAAAAAACTTGAAGACCTCTTGTGTAACTTTGCCTTAAAAGATGTGCAGCTTGCTGTTCTGCCTGGCAACTCTATCTTTACATGGTGTAACGCTGATGGGTCTATAAAGCCAAGGTTGGATAGAACGTACTCTAACATCCCATCTTCTGCTTCCGAATTTTCTGTCATACCTCTCCATTTCCAGGGTAATCGGTTCTCGGACCATTCTCTGGTAATGGCAACTTTCAACCTATCCTGCTCTTCAAAACGTAACCGCTTCCGCCTCACCCCTGAAATTCTTAGGGATGAGGAATTTCTGTCACTAGTGGACAAGCTACTAACAAGCATGCTTTCGCTATCCACTGTCAGCATAGAGGATTGATGTCGGTTTAAGGGGGAGGTCCTCCAACTTGCCCGCTCCACCGATAGGCGCCTTCGCTGCAAGAGACATTGTTGACTGCGGCTTCTTCAACGCTTCTTGTCTGACTGTCGCTGCAGCAAGGACAACACTGGGTACACATTGAAGGTCTCGTCAAGCAGGCTTCTGCCAGCATCTCTGCCCTTTTAACAAGTAGATTCAAATAAGCCTATGAGGGGTACAAGGTCTCTTGCCTTAATACTCCGAGGCGTTTCGGCCGTTATCGCAATGATAAATCTAAATCTAATGTCTCCTCCATTCTAAAGCACAATGGCACCTTAACTTCTGATGACCAAGAAATTACCGAGATGTTCTTTCAGCACTTTTCTCAGTTACTCGCTCCTACTCGTGTCAACTCTTCTCAATGGGAAGACATGACAAGAGCAATTCCTACGGCTTACCTTCATATCCCTTTCCGCATCTTTTTTCTCAGGATTCAGTGAAATCTGCATTTTCAGCAATGCATGCAGGCAAATCTCCTGGACCTGATAACTTACCAGCCGAGTGCCATAGAGTCTTTTCCAATAAATTGTCCTCCCTTCTCCCAATTGTTTATAAATCTCTATCCCCTGAAGACCCTAGTATTTCTAAATTCAACTTGGGTCAGCTCTCTGTTCTGCCCAAGTTAGTCAACTGCACTACTGTCCATGATTTTCGGCCCTTAACGCTCACCAACGTAGACTATAAGATCTACGAGCGCATTATTTACAATAAAATTGGTTCCGCCCTGACCCCCAGTATTGTTAACACTCAAACAGGAGGTGTTCCCAATAGGTGTATCTTAGATAATTTAAGCTTTATTAGGTTACTTAGCGAGTATTGCTCCAACAGGAAATGGCCATTAGCTCTGCTTTCGATTGATCAATAGAAAGCTTATGACCGTGTAGACAACGGTTTTCTTTGGCACGTTCTCAAAAAATATAGTATACCTGACGAGGTACTTTTGGCAATCCAAATTATGTATCGTAAGGCTCATTGCCGTATCAATATTAATAGCCATCTCTCTGACCCCTTCCCGCTCGGTAAGGGAGTCAAGCAGGGATGTCCTCTGTCCATGTTTCTCTTCTCCCTTAGTATCAAAACCCTCTTGGATGAGATACAAAGATACTTCAGTATCTCAGGTTACCCTATGCCTGGATACTACAAAAATCAGACTACTATAAGTTCGTGGCCCATGTGGATGACTTCACATTCTTTGTGAAAGACAACTGGGCTATCTCCAGAATTTTTTGCCATTTTGACAGGTACTGTCAGGCCTCTGGAGCTGTCATTAATAAGAGGAAACCTTCCTTTCTGCCTCTTGTTGGTTTCATCTCTTTACCTGTGTCTTTCTCTGACATCCCTGTGAGCAGTAGGGTTAAGATTTTAGGTATATACTTTGGTGCCGACTCGGCCAAACATAACTTAAAGGAGATTAAAGTTAAAATTGGGGATAAAATTTCCATTTGGACGGAAAGCTCTCTTTACTTTCCAAGTAGAATAGCTGTCTACAAAAACATCATGTTTGGTATTTGTGTCTACTATGCCTCTGTTTTCGGCCTGGACGCAGGCTTTAGGCATATTAATCGTCTCCTTTTTCGTTTTGTCTGGGGCAATAAACCTGAATGGGTTAGTAGAGAAATAATGTATAATACCAGAGCAAACGGTGGCTGGGCTATGTTTGAACCCACCCTCTTCTCTGCTGCTACCCAAATTAGGCAGCTGGTCCTTGCCCTTACTGCCCGCGATCACCCGGTAAGTAAGCTGTATAGCTTCTTGGGTATCGCCTTAAGTTACTTTTACCTGATTACAAGGTAAACCTCATGCCCAAGGTGCTGGATCCACCACCCTTTGTGAAAGTATGGTACACACACCCTACTCAGTCTCTCCCAATCTGGGAATATTCCTTCGAATAAAACTAAGGCTTGCGAAATCTATCGCCACCTTAGGCCCGATACCTTGCTATCCCTCTGTCCATTAAACACTCAGGCCTCTATTGACTGGGCCACTGTTTGGCGCAGATGTTTTGATGGGCTTATTCCCGAACACTGCATCGAACTACAGTAGAGGTTACTGCATAATGCACTCTCCACCAAAGTTAAGCTCCGGTCTATCAAAGTTTACGTTGTGAGTGAGAACTGTCCAATGTGCAATTTTTCGCCTGAAACGGCAGCACATCTCTTTTACTTCTGTAGAGTTGCAAGGAAGATTTGGAGTTGAATAACTCCCCTCTTTGGTCTGCCCTTTCTGTCACATGAGAACGTTGTTCTTCACATCCTTTTTAGCAAAGGCACTGTATCTCCCTATGTGATTAGTCTCCTAATCCATATGGCTAAACACGAGATATGGTTGGCCAGGTGTAGGAAGGTGTTTGATCACAAACACACCACCCACTGCCTCTATCGTATCAAAATCCGCGAGGCTTTAGCTCGCAAGCTGCTCTCAGACTTTAAATCTTTGTCATGGGCAAATTTCAATTCTCTATGGGATACCCCCAACCAGATCCTCTGGACCAGGAAGGACGGTAAACCAATTCTTAACGATTTATCCTCTTAAATGCACAATAGCATGTAAGATAGAATAGTTAAACTTTTAAGTCCTCTGTTTTGTCTTCTTTGAAATGTGGACTACACCCTTCTGCGTGTTGGTCCTCCACCTTCCTTTCAACCTGTCTGTTCCCTGTGTCTTCTCCTATACAAAACTAGTTGTTTTTTCTTTTTTGGCGGTTTCTGCCCAGTTCCTGTTTATCCAATGATTCCCTTGTCACCTGTTCAATAAGATAGGATACTGTCTTTTCCAGTCTTATGGCCGTTGACTCCCTTGCCATACTGGCTTGTGTGACGAGGCAACAACCACTGTCATATTTCTAGTAGTCTCTTCTATCCTCGCAGCACAGAGAACGGCCTTACATTCTAAGGTGGGGGCTCCGTGCAGCGAGGAGGTACTGTTTCAAGGATTAGAGAGTTACTGAGGATGCGGGTGGCTGCCTTTTGTCACTTCGCAGGGGATTATTTCCCCCCATATAACATTTATGAAAATCAGTATAATACTAACACTTCCATCTAAATATATTTCGATGGAAGTGTCAGTATTACAGAAATACAACTGTATTAACGCGTTCTTGCGTATACAGAAATGTAGGAAACAGGATAATATACAGGGTGGGCCAACGAGAAGGAAACGGCAGAGTTATCGAGTTCGTCCAAGCAAATCGCTCGGACAGGTCAATTTTATTCTCAAGGGAAACATCTGCAATAAAGTTTTTGCGATTCTGAATACAACAGATAACAAAAATTTTTAAAAACTCTGTTTAGTTAATAAAAGAATGAATAACATTTATTTCAGAAAGAGGTAACACAAAAAATTTTTTAAGCTGGACCGCATATGCAAGGAAAAAAATAACACATTATCAGCCTTAATTTTATGATCTATCTGTTTCCAGATGTTCTTTTTTGTAGTGTTCACATTAAGCTTGACCACTTAATAATCTTAAATTCTGATTGAATTATTATTTGTTTATTATAAATTTTGTACAACATAATTATTATGGTTTACACAATTGCTGAAAGGGTAGAAATAGTAACTCTTCATTTCAGAAATCGCGAAAATGCTTATCTTACTGCAAATTCATTTAATCCAACGCTATCAAAACAAATATTGTAATGCAAAATATGTTCTGGAGTTGGTTCAAAAGTTTCAGTTAACGGATTCTGTGGCTAACAAAAGACGCGACCCCAGACGTCAGGGGCGGACTAAGGCCTAGGCAACCTAGGCATGTGTCTAGGGCCCGTAATTTTTGGGGCCCGAAAATTAGGTTTTTAATTTTTATAATTAATTTTTATTTTAATTTAACAGAAAAACGTGATATTGATAATTATTGCTGAAACATATCCAAATTATGCCGAATCGTTGATTGATAAAGTCGACAAGTGTGGACAAGCGTTCTCATGCTTATGCATCCACGCCCTCGAGCGTTGACTTGTGTAAATACGATTGAGCCTCGCGCTACAGTGGCTAGAATATATAGTGTGTCGTTCGCTATTTTATTCCTACAATACATTAGGTTCTCGTTTTTATGCCTCACCAGAGGGCACTCGAATCGGTTGTAATGTTACTTAGATCAGTTTACATAAAGCATTTTCAGTGGTTTTTCGTTTGTTTTTGACTTTGTGTAGAACGATTTTCGTCCCATTTTTGAAAAAAAAAAAAATGTCTGAAGTTTATAAAAATAAGAATTTACAAAGGCATTGNTATCCAAATTATGCCGAATCGTTGATTGATAAAGTCGACAAGTGTGGACGAGCGTTCTCATGCTTATGCATCCACGCCCTCAAGCGTTGACTTGTGTAAATACGATCGAGCCTCGCGCTACAGTGGCTAGAATGTATAGTGTGTCGTTCGCTATTTTATTCCTACAATACATTAGGTTCTCGTTTTTATGCCTCACCAGAGGGCACTCGCTTCGGTTGTAATGTTACTTAGATCAGTTTACATAAAGCATTTTCAGTGGTTTTTCGTTTGTTTTTGACTTTGTGTAGAACGATTTTCGTCCCATTTTTGAAAAAATAAGAATTTACAAAGGCATTGTTTTGTACCTGGTTGCAAAACTGGAAATAATGTAAAGGAGAAACGTACATTATTTTCGGCCCCAAAAGACAAAGAGCTTCGAAAAAAATGGAGTAAGTTAATTCCTCGCAGTGACAAAATTTTTTATGAATATTATTGTGTTTGCGAGCTTCATTTTGATGAGCAGTTTATTGAACGGAAGTTTAAACATATAATTAATGGTAAAGAAGTTACAATTCCTAGAGATTGTCTTAAACTTGTGTCAGATGCTATTCCAACTATCTTTCCAAATTTGCCTATTCCCCAGAATTAGGATATAAATATTTGATGACAGCAAGATTAAGTCAAAATAAGTTGGAAAATCTCTTTAGTATCATTAGACCAGGGCCGTGCAGTAGATTTTCTAAGTATGATGCAAGTCTTCAAAATGCCGTCCCTTATATGTTTTTTTGCCACCCCTTATATAAATTATTAGTCTTATATAGGCTATAATTATTATTATTTGGTGTATCTTACCAGGGCCATGTGGTAGATTTTCTAAGTATGACGCAAGTCTTTGAAATTCTGCCCCTTATATGTTTTTTATGTTGCCCCCTCGTGGTGCCGCCTAATGCGGCTGCATCTCTGCATCAGACAATCCAAGGGTTGTAATGACCATCGTAATCCTGATGAATTTTTAACTATTGTGGAAAGTTTGAGTTTTTACAATTTAGCTAAAACACCAAGAAATGGCAATACTTTTCCCAATATTATTAGCTGTTTAATATATCCAAAACAGCAATTTATGAAGAATGATCAGTCCAGATTTTTTAGAATTGACAATTTTCTTGAAAGCAAAAAATTATTAAAGACTAATGAATATTTAAAATGTGAGAAACTAGAACATTCAGATATTATTCATCAACACAGTAATTTGCAATTAATTTATTATATTTCTGGATATGTGGTAAAAAAGTTTTTACCAAAAACATCCTGCACTGATTGTAAAAAGTGTCTTGATGCAAAATCTATTAATGCAACTGATATACATCCAGAATGTGCAGGATTTACAAAGGAGTTTGATAAAGGAGGATTGATATATCCTTCAATGCCACTATTTTATCTTATATGTGATATCGAAAATTTATTTACAGAGTGTTTTAGTTTCAACAAATTACATGAAGAGAGTATACTTGATATTTTATCTAATTTAGGAAATAAAAAGACAAGATATGTAGGTTGTGATATTCATAAACTTGCTTTAACTGAAAAAATTGTAAGATTTTATATTATAACGAGAATGCATTTTTATTTGAAACAAATACAGAAATGTCAGGAAGAAAAAAGAAAAAAACAATAATATTTAAAAATAAGACATACAAAATAAATTCATTAAAAATTTTTTAGTCAGAAATAAAAATATTTTCATGTTAATGTGTGTATCAAGTTTTTTAATCCATTACAATTATAATAATACTGAGTTAATATTGATTTATTAACATATTACTAATTATAAAGTTAACGAATTAATGTTTTCTTCGACAGTTTAAATACTGTATTGCTATAAAGATGAAACTCTGACATAATTTAAGTGCGAGATAATTTAGAACTTCTATAAAAATAACTTCAATTATATTAAATATAAAACTTATTTTAATTTTATAGAAATAATTAATGTTTTAAAAACGCGGGATTTCTGATTCTACTATAATGGCGAAAGTATAATTATTCTGTGGCGAGGATAGAGTTTTAGCTCCATTGCTATGAATGTAAACAACATCAGTAGTGACAACAGTGCCTCTAGTGTAAAGCGCTTATCTCGAACCTGTTTTTAGACACGAACGACACACTATATATTCTAGCCACAGTACTCGCGCCTTTACTATGCACTTGTTTAAAAAGTCAAACGTAGCTATTTGAAATTTGTGTCTCCTGAACGTATTGCATCTTATGTGAGTTATGATTGAAAATTGTGCAATTAAGACTTAAGTACCTAGACTTGATTGCAAAAATATTGTTTTGGATTCATAGTTAAAACTCTTAGTTGACCAGGGTGTCTATTCGTAGACACCCTATTTTATTTTTAAATTCACCAGGGTGTCAATTTGTAGACACTTTGTAAAAATTCGAAAATTTAAAAATTTTTTGCCAACAGATGCCAGCACTTGACGGTAACGTCTTCTATACAGTCTGTTTCACATATTTGCATCCAGGTGTCGTNACATCAGTAGTGACAACAGTGCCTCTAGTGTAAAGCGCTTATCTCGAACCTGTTTTTAGACACGAACGACACACTATATATTCTAGCCACAGTACTCGCGCCTTTACTATGCACTTGTTTAAAAAGTCAAACGTAGCTATTTAAAATTTGTGTCTCCTGAACGTATTGCATCTTATGTGAGTTATGATTGAAAATTGTGCAATTAAGACTTAAGTACCTAGACTTGATTGCAAAAAGATTGTTTTGGATTCATAGTTAAAACTCTTAGTTGACCAGGGTGTCTATTCGTAGACACCCTATTTTATTTTTAAATTCACCAGAGTGTCAATTCGTAGACACTTTGTAAAAATTCGAAAATTTAAAAATTTTTTGCCAACAGATGCCAGCACTTGACGGTAACGTCTTCTATACAGTCTGTTTCACATATTTGCATCCAGGTGTCGTCTTGTTGACCTATAAAACCGTTAGTAGGAATTTTTGAAATTCACTNACTGTATCTCCCTATGTGACTAGTCTCCTAATCCATATGGCTAAACACGAGATATGGTTGGCCAGGTGCAGGAAGGTGTTTGATCACAAACACACCACCCACCGCCTCTTTCGTATCAAAATCCATGAGGCTTAAGCTCGCAAGCTGCTCTCGGACTTTAAATCTCTGTCACGGGCAAATTTCAATTCTCTATGGAATACCCCCAACCAGATCCTCTGGACCTGAAAGGACGGTAAACCAATTCTTAACGATTTATCCTCCTAAGTGCACAATAGCATGTAAGATAGAATAGTTTATGTTTTAAGTCCTCTGTTTTGTCCTCTTTGGAATGTGGACTCCACCCTTCTGCGTGTTGGTCCTCACCTTCCTCTCGACTTGTCTGTTCCCTGTGTCTTCCCCTATACAAGACTATATGTTTTTCTTTTTTGGCGGTTTCTGCCCAGTTCCTATTTATCCAATGATTCCCTTGTCACCTGTTCAATGGGATAGGATACTGTCTTTTCCAGTCTTATGGCCGTTGACTCCCTTGCCGTACTGGCTTGTGTGACAAGGCAACAACCACTGTCATATTTCTAGTAGTCTCTTCTATCCTCGCAGCACAGAGAACGGCCTTACATTCTAAGGTGGGGGCTCTGTGCAGCGAGGAGGTACTGTTTCAAGGATTAAGCAGTTATTGCGGATGCGGGTGGCTGCCTTTTGTCACTTCGCAGGGGTTATTTCCCCCCGTATAACATTTATGAGAATCAGTATCTGTTCCAGTTTTTGGTAAGTTTTTTAGCCTAACGTCTATTTTTGCTTTCCTATAGTCTTCTAACTTCTGCCGAAGGTTGGCCTGCACAGTTGAAACACATTGTGTATTCGCTGACCTTTCGAACACACTTTTACTACTAGGGGGCAAGCAGCCCGCTGCACCCCCCACTTTTTATTCCTCCCCCCTTCCTCCGCCTTTTCTTGGGTTCTTTCCCAGGAGGCTCCCCGCCTCTTTACCTTAACTGCTACTCCCTCACTTTTGATCTTAGTCAGCAGTTTCTGCATTTTTGGCGCTTTTTGTCACCCTCCCTCCCAGTGCTTACCCCTTCATTTTTTGTGGTGCGCGCTTTGTTTTGTGTGGTGTTCCATTATATCCGGTGGATTATCGTTGTGTTGTGCTTAGTGCTACTATAGGGAGTTTACTCTTCAACTGTGTGGATACCGCAGTGGTGTGTTCCTCCATCCTTCTTGTGTACTGTGTCATCGCAGCCTCATCAACATGGATACCCTGAGCAGATCCAGCACCTATGCTCAAGTGACATCGGCCCCTCTCGTGGTCCACCTAGCTCCTGGCATTGACGGTGGGCTTCACAGATGCTGACCCTCCAGTGATGTCGCACCCCTCCTCACCTCTAATCAACGAACAAGTCAACGAACAAGTCAACGAACATTTGCAACCAAATGAAATGGACATGGACCAGGATACAGAACTGAGTGAGGACAAGATAAAACAGTATACTACGATCCGCTCAATTAGGATTGCTGCTAAAGGACAAGTCCAGATGACTGATATAATAACGGCATGTGAAGACATCATAGGCCAACTGGGCGAAGTGGAACAGGTTTACTATAAACCAAACAACCTGATCGAAGTAGGACTCACAACGGTGGAGGCGAAAGAGAAGATCATCGGCCACACTTTAAAGGTAGGCAATTCTAATGTTGTTTGTGAGAGCCTTGACGAAGACCTCTTAATGGTCATTGATAGGTTTGTGCCTAACAAGGCTGATAAGGAGATAGTCAAAAGCGTTCTCTCGGTTTACAGGAAAGTCAGTAAAGTGTTAGTCCACACAGTCACAGTTAATGATAGAAAATTCAAAACGGACACTTACAGGGTACTAATTAAAACTAGAAAGCTCCTCCCAAACTTTGTGGAGATACTGGGAAGCAAAGTAGAACTACTATACGTAGGGCAAAAAAAACAATGCTGGCGATGCGGGAGCCTGTCGCACGAGATAAAAGATTGCAATGTAAAATTATGTCACAGATGCAAAAGTCCCAACCATCTTGTAAGGGAATGCCCCAACTGCTACAACTGCCAACAAATACACAGTATGGAGGAAAAATGCCCCAAACCTACATTAAGTGAAATATACAAATCAGGAGGTAGAAACAAAATAAAAGCGAGAAAAAGGGAAAGAAGCTTAGAAAAACAAAAAGTACAGCAAGACAAAGTTAGGGAGAACCATGACAACAATAACACTCAGAAAGAGAGTAATGACAACCAAACACCTGATGAAAATCAGGAAAGTGGTAGAGAGACAACGGAGTATCAGGAAAACAAAGAGGTACAGGAAGTAACAAATAGACAAACTGATAGAATAGAAAAAAAACATATTAGTAAGGAGGAGAGCCTAGAAGAGAGGATAGAAGAGCATAAGAATGCAGCAGTTGTGAAGGAGAAAATACTATCAATAAGCCTAGACGCAAGCCTCACTAAAGAAGAACTAATCGAGAAAGTAGAAAACATTATAACAGTCGCAGACAAGAAAAAGGTAAGAAAAAGTGAAAGAATAAATGCCCAATCCAATAACAACATTCAGATCTAACATATTTAGAGATTTGACATTAATTTTATCGGCCATGAAAGATGAGGCCAAACAGATTTATCTGCTGAACCTTACCTTGGCTGACAGCACAGACATCCTTATGTTACAAGACACTAATCTCTATGACTTCTATGACTTAAAAAAGTTAAGAAAAATATTCACCCAGTATAATATTTATATCTCCTTTGCCCCTAGGAGGGGTTCCGGTGTAATAACAATGATACGTAACAATATCAAAGTCAACGATTTTAGAACCGACACGAACGGCAGAATCCTGACAGTAGACATCAACTTTAATAACAAATTACTAAGATCTACGCCCCCCTCAACTTGCTGAGCGCAAAGAACTTTTTAATTTTCTTCCAAATTACTTAATCGGAAAGAGAGACTTCCTAATTTGCAATGATTTCAACTGCGTACTAAATCAAAGGGATAAAAATGTCTGCCTACATCCAGATGGATCCCGTAGTATCCTGAAAGACTTAATAGAAAGTTACGAACTCAAAGATGCCTACCGCACACTCTACCCCCAAGCTACGCCCCCCTCAACTTGCTGAGCGCAAAGAACTTTTTAATTTTCTTCCAAATTACTTAATCGGAAAGAGAGACTTCCTAATTGGCGGTGATTTCAACTGCGTACTAAATCAAAGGGATAAAAATGTCTGCCTACATCCAGATGGATCCTGTAGTATCCTGAAAGACTTAATAGAAAGTTACGAACTCAAAGATGCCTACCGCACACTCTACCCCCAAGCTGAGGAATACACCTGGAAAGGTAGAGGAATAAAGGAACGACTGGATAGGATCTATCTTAGCAGGGATGCTGGAAAAACTGAAAGCATTAATATCTACCAACTAGTCAATCATGGAAAAAAGATCTCGGATCACAAACTCATTAATCTATCCCTAGTCTCCAATATCATCAAAAAACAGATAAACAAAGTTAAAATAAACAATACCATCCTCTCCGACACAGCTTTCCAACGAGAGGTCAAAGACACCCTAGACAAGATAAAAACCAATATCACATGGGAGACCTGGAAAACAACAAAAAAGAAGATTATCGAAAT